TTTTTTTGTTGCAGTTTGGCCAGGGCTGGGTTTGAACCCACCACCCTCGGTATATGGGGCCAGTGCCCTACCAGCTGAGCCACAGGTGCCACCCCAGATGTTCAGCCTTTTCAAAAAATACATATGAATATGCTAATACTTGGTTGCTCTCTGCTGTTGTTGCGTTTATCCCTTAGATAACAATATACCAGAGAGCCATAGTAAACCATGTTCTTGTTTTTTCCTTCCCGCTCTTTCCCCATCCTTTCCATGATATCGTCAGGTGGCTGGAGAGAGATATGTCTACAAATTTGTGTGCGATCCCGAAGCCCTTTTCTCCATGGCCTTTCCCGATAATCAGCGCCCGCTGCTGAAGACAGACATGGAACGTCACATCAACGAAGAGGACACGGTGCCTCTGTCTCACTTTGATGAGAGCGTGGCCTACATGCCCGAAGGGGGCTGCTGCAACCCCCACCCCTACAACGAAGGCTACGTGTATTAACGCCAGAGACAGTCAAACAGGGCGTCCTGGGGCTTTCCCCTTTTCTGCAAGATACAGAGAATTGCCGAATTCTCTTCGATCTTTGTTTTATTTTTGTTGTTTGTATTTTATTTTTAAATAATAATACACAAAAGGGGCTTTTCCTGTTGCATTATTCTATGGTCTGCCATGGACTGCGCACTTTATTTGAGGGTGGGTGGGAATAATCTAAACGTTTATTCGGTGTGACAGGAAAGATAATGGGTGAGTGGGCAGATGGATTTAGGGATTACTTTTACTTAGGCTTGGGGTAGGGTCCTACAGGTTTTAAGTAAGACGAAGCTAGATCATGTCTATTTGATTTCATACAACATAAGATAATGTTTATTTTCTCTGGGTATCTATGGTACAGTTAATTTTGAATTGTGTAAATATCCGCTGCTTGGAGACTATTTGCCTTGGGCATTTTCCCCCATCGTTTCTGAGTCTCTGCAGGTGTACAAAGAAAACCCAATCTACTGTAAATGGCAGTTTAATTGTTAGAAATGACTGTTTTTGCACCTCTTGTAAAAAGGTATTTAGCGATTGCATTTCTGTTTTGTTTTGCTTTCTGTATGACTCACAGAGGATAACCATAAAATGGGTCATTCTCTCTGAAGCTGAATAATCACCATGACTGTACATGAGGGGCACAATTTTGGACTCTGGCTCCAAACTGAGTCATAGGCCAGTAGCATTGTATGTATGGTGCCACCTTGCTATTTAGATACAAATCATACCGTCTTTTAAATATTTTGAAGCCCATTTCGGTTAAACAATGACATGTCATGGTCCTTTGGAATATTCACTTAAATCTGGAATCACAATGAATCAAAAATCTGTCTCCTTTTCACTTCCTTCAGTACATAAATACATTATTTAATCAATAAGAATTAACTGTACTAAATCACATATTATGCTGTTCTAGCTACAGCAAGCACTCTTTAAGAAAAATATCCAATACACTAAATAGGTACTATAGTAATTTTTAGACATGGTACCCATTGATATGCATTTAAACCTTTTACTGCTGTGTTATGTTGATAACATATATAAATATTAGATAATGCTAATGCTTTTGCTGCTGTCTTTTCTGTAATATTCTCTTTCATGCTGAATTTACTATGACCATTTATAAGCAATGCAGTTAACTACAGATAGCATTTCAGGACAAAATAGATGAGTCAAACCATTTATTGCTTAAAAAATAGCTTATGCCATGCTATGCTCAAAGCAGCTTTTATGCACATTGGCAAATGAAGAGTAAGCTTCAGCTTGCTAAGGGAAACTGTGGAAACTTTTGTAACTTTTGGTGAAATGGAAAATTATTTACAAACTGTCAAAGAATTTGAGGAAGTTGCCGTACCGTGCTGGCACTGATACTATCCATCATCTCATTTTGGACACTCCTGTAAATGTGATTGGATTGTTTGAAAGAAGATTTAAAGATTGAAAGTTGCAAAGTTTTGTTTTGTTTCGTTTTGTTTTTTGCATATGGAGAAAATACTGAAAGCAGGATATGTTGTTCTACACTTACCTTGAAAAAAACAATAAGTGAATGCTATTATGGTATCTCTAAATAGCATGTTAAAAGATTCCAGCTAGGAACATGAATTTTTTTCAAATTGTCAATATCCTAAAGGAACAACCTTTTTTTAGAGCCTAGCCAAAGGCTTTAGAAAAAAATCCTAAATATAAAGCCAAAATAAACCTATGAAAGTATTTCATGATGAGCACAGGAAGATTGATTGCTAAACAATGATCACCCCAGTGACCCATTTTCCAAGACTACACAGGTCACAGCTTGTTTCTCTAAATTGGACAGTCATTGAAACATTCAGGTACCAAAATCAATACTTATTCACATTTAATCCTACAATAAAAACGTACTCTAATTTCAGAATATATATGTAAACTGTGATTTCAATGATTGTTCTATACATATACATCATGTATAATTTGGCCCTTTGTGGGCTAAAAAGTATGCCTTAAAAATCAGAACTTCCCCCCCCCCACCATGCTCACATGGCCACCTACAGCACTTAGAATAAAAACATGTTAAAATATTCAGTGAAAGTTTCATTGGTGGAGGGTTGAAATATACGATTGAGATAATTTGGTGACATTAAAGGGGAAATTTTAATTGGGTCTTTAAAATGTGTTCTAAATGAAAAAACTATTGAGGACTTTTTAACTTTTTTTCTTTTTTTTCCTTTTCCTTTTTTGCCTTTCTCCTTTTAAATAGTTCAAATCAGTCAGTGAGAAGAATTGGGCCATGAGGTATCTTCATAGATCTGAGGCAGAAATGGTACTAAGTATATAATGTTTAAGGACAAACTATATATTTAATATTTTGCTGTTTAAGGTAGTGACTCACTGAACTAAATAAGTAATTGGGTAACATTAAATATATTTCCTATACAGAAGGGTTCAGAATATTGCATTATAAGCTCTTTTGAGAAATGTATCTGAAGTTTTTGTTTTTTTTTTTTTAAATTCTGTTTTTATTCCACTTTTTGGTTGTGTGTTTATGTTTTTATTTTCAGGTAGATTAATAAATCTGGCAGCTGATTTCTGCAAAATTCTTGTGTTTTGAATTTCTAGAAGAAGTGGCTTCTCAAATGTAGAAATCATTCGTTAATGATACAAGGTCTTCTTTCAATTTGGTAAAAGAAACTAAAAGAAATATTTCCACTGCTGTTTGCTGCTTCTTGATGACTTGCTGATACCTGATAGTTCAGTTACAGTGAAAAATGTTACATCTCAGATAACTAGTGAAAAATGATTTTTAAGTTATAGCTTTAAAAAATGTTTCAAAAAAAATTGGCAAAGCTGACAGTGCAAAGGTTCTTAAATCATGGAAGTATCTTTGAGGTCTAGTTTCCTATATCTGCTGTAACCGATTAGCGCAACTTCAGTAACGTAAAACAACATAAATTTATCTAATTACAGTTCTAGACGTCAGAAGTCCAACATGAGCCCTAAGAGGCTAAAACCAAGATGTTCATTGGTTTGTTTTTTTCTGGAGGCTCCAGGGGGAGATTCTGGCTTCTTTTGCCTCTGGAGGCTGCCAGCAATTCAGGCTACACTTCAATCTCTGCCCACATGTTCACATGTTCACATGTTCTCATTTACTATAGTCAGATCTTCTGCCAGCCTCTTACAAAGACACCTGCAGTTACACTTAGGTTATACTCAAATAACCCAGGATAATTTCCCCATCTCAAGAGCTCTAACTTAATCACTTGTGGCACATCCTTTTTGACAGACTATGAACAGGTTTCCAAGATTAAGAAAAGAATGTGGGGGTGGGAGTGTGGGAATAGCAGGGAGGACTTTTACCCAGACTACCACACGGATGAAAATGGTGTGTAGCAAAAATACTCATTGATTTACCCGTGGCCAACAAAATTCTATTGAGGGAGCTAGTATTAGAAAGTACTGAGACATGTTTTTGTGTTCCCCTCAGATATTCTCCCCTTATTCTGCATACTTTTGAAAGCTTGCTGTATTAAAGTTCATCTATTCCACAAAAGCATCTGGTGATTATATCAAGTGTTTGGAATATTTAAATCCTTCTCCCATCCCCAGATAAATATAAGGAGGGGAAAAAATAAAGTATGATAATAACAGAATAAATGGAACAGCTCAATCTGTGGTCCAGCTCAGATTATATTTTTTTAAGAAATTTCCCTTTGTCTTAGGGTGAGTGGTTACTGTCCGATCTTAACATTTGCAAGTGATTATTTTTTATTAGGTAAGAACAATATTATATAGGCTACATCTCTGTAACTCAAAAGAACAAATGAGTCAACTTACCTTTATATGACAAGGAAAGAAATCTATTTCCTGATGTTACAGCATTTGGCCAGATCGTAGGCGTTTCTCAAGTGAGCCACTTTATCAGTCTTTTCAGAGCCTAGAACGAGAAAACGTTACAGAGAAGGCCATTTACATGTTTATTACTTGGAATTGTAAAAGGGAAAAAGCAAAATTTAAAAATAAGAATTGAGTGAGCTATTTTCCGGTCACAATTTGGTATGGAGAAGAGAAAATGTTGTAAAAAACATACAATTTGGGAAAAAAGAATGGTGGGAAGAAATTAAAGAAGGTAAATGTACATATTAGGAAACTGTGAGAAGAATCATATAAAAGCCAAGTTTCAAAACATGATACCAAACAATTTTACCCAATTTATTCAGAACTCAACTAGTACTTTTAGGGCTTGATTTAAAAAAAAAAAAAAAAAAAAAAAAAACATAAGACTCACACATATTAAAAAACTATGGAAAAGTATAGTTTAAGAAGAGAATTTGATTAGACTAGTGGATACCTTTATAGAAATACTGATGATTTTAGAATGTTCAATTCAAAGTGTATATATAATATAGTGGCTATGGTTATGAATTCATAAGTAAAGTGATTTTTGCATATAGACTCCAATATTATTTAATTCCTTACTAAACTTATATTTCTGTTTCTATGCAGAAGAAAATTTTAATTAATTCACTTTGTTGTACTAAAAATTATACTTATGGTTTGAGTAAACATGCTATGAAAATCATGTGATTATATCAAATTAAATATGCTCTAAATTTAAAACTAAAATAAAAGCCCGGAAGTTGAAAATATTGGACTGTCGTGATCACTCCGGAAGGTGGCACACCTGAAACTGATAAATGCCATCTGAATTTTTGCCGGCCTTCTACTCATCTCATCATTTTTAATAGTTAATGACCAAGGCACCTGAGGAATCCCTTTGTACTATTTCTGTCACTTCCACACATTATTCTCTCGCTGGATAACTTAGGGACCAGGACACCTGATAAATGTTTTTCCAGTTTTATCCTCTAGTCTCTTTAAATACTTTCTGTCACATAATCCCTCTAATAAATATATCAGGGAGCAATTTGGAGAAGGGAACTCTAAATTATTGCAGCGCCTCTCAGGTGCCAGACAGGATGGTTACTGGACTTCAGTTATTGCCTCCCATATCACTTGGATTTGTCCCAGGAGAAGCTGAAGTGTCTGTGTGTCACGATGTCATGGGGTCACAGGCAAATTCACAAACCCTCATTTTTCACATAACTTGGACCTTGCTATTTTCCTGATTTGATTTCTAATGACAAAAATGTCTTTAGCAATGACCTATTTGGCTGAAGGTCAGTGTTATTTAAAATGATTTTTTCCCGTCTTTGGATATTCCTTACAAATCTCCAAAAGGAAATCGAGCATCATTGAAACAACAGCAACAACAATCTGAGTTTGGGTTGTTTTCTAATTAACAGTCTTTAAGCATTTGTAAATTAAACTGACTGACATACCTCCTTGTTATCTTCTATTGGAGAAGGGTACAGTTTAATGATCCCAAATAGATGAACTCATCAAATTCTCTGGAAAGTTGTAAATATTGTCCTCGTGATTTTCACTATTAGATTTGATGCCTGAAAGTAATCGAGTTCCTCGAAAACTTTTAAAGCATCTAAGATTCAAAGTCACATGATTCAGAAGAAGCATATGTTGGTTTATAAAGTAGAAAGTGGAACTAAAATCATAGAAAGTATTGTATATTATGTCACATTTTAACTTTTAAAAAAAACAGCAAAACTATTTGTCCTATGGAAAGATTAACATGTCACCTTAATTGGCTAGGTGCACGGAAAGCAAAAAAAAAAAACAAGATTAAGCATGTGACATTACTTTTTACACTGCAAATGCCTTGCTACTTTATATGATCACAAACATAGGTTTTTTTATTCTCTAGAATATTTTAAAATATTAACTACTTTAAACAAATCTCCTAGTCTATAAAAAGATTGTGGTAAAATATAGAAAACATAAAAGTTGCCCTTTTAACCATTTTTGAGTGTATAATTCAGTGGCCTTAATTACATTCACAATTTGGGTGATCATCACCACTATTTCCAAAATGTTTACATTTTTTATTCTTAAAGCACTGGCAAAAATGCTCAAGAAGATATTTTCTTATTTTTTTTTTACAATTAGAAATGTAAAAATATGACTTTATGTTAATAACCTTTACTAATAGGTTGTCCTTGATTTTATGCTATAGTTTAATAACTTCATTAAAGAGAAAAAGATTATCATTGAGCATAAAAACTATCATGTAAAACCCTATTGGATGTAGATTTAATAAGTATTGTATGGTTGTTCATTGAGATAATTTATTGGATATTTTGAAATCACTTGGTATTTTAAATTTACAGCCCCTTACAACAAACCACATCAAACAATAACAAACCAATCTTGTGCATTCACATTTCTTTAATTTGAATTGACAGATTAACATATCATGAAGACACATACATATTGAAGCTATAGGTGGGGATTAAAAACTTTAGGATGGTGCAAATTTCAGGTAAGATTGATAAATTTTAGGGAAAAATTCCAAAACAGAAATCTGTCAGATCTTAACAATAGTATTTATGTGAAATTAGGCAATAAGAAAAAATTGTGCCTCTCTCCAATTACCCCTCCTCACATTTCTGGTTCAAACAGTAAGAACTACTTCCTAAATTGAATTTTTCTTATGACTTTTCAAATCTTACAGATTCCTTGTGAAGGAATTTCTGTTTCTTTCTGTTTCTTGAAATGTGGTACTTACATTTAGAGTGAGTTTCCTTGTTTAGATCATTTAGGATTAC